AAAAAAAAAGAAGATTTTACTTAGGTGTATCCAAAAGTAATGTCGCGTCTATCTTGTTTCCTTATAAAAGGGTCAAAAAAAAATTCTTTTTTTATAGAATGATAGAGCAAATGAAGCTCTATTTTTCTATACTATTTCATCACTATCCAACTAGTATTATACTAATAAAATTTCGATAAGAACTGTTTTTGTGTAAAACTTAACTAATAGATGAGGCAGATTAATACGCTTTGCATTTCAATTTTCAATCACTCAATACATTGTATTAAAAAATAAAATATACCATAAGATGCAGCGTGAAAAGCTCTACAATTTATAAAGAACAGTTTATTTTATATATGAAATAAGAAAAACGGAATTTCTCTTCGCATGATTTTTTCGCGGCAGTGAAAATTGGTCGCACAGAATTTTGATTTCTTTGACAAGAAATACATAATTAAAATAAGCTCTGTTTTGTAGATTGTAGAGCTTTTCACGCTGTATATTGTGATGTATTTTGTTTTTTTTAGATAAAAGATATCAGGTGACAAAAAGATGAAATAAGAAAAAATGAATTCATCTTCTACCAAAAAATATCGTTTTCGTACGATCGAGAATTGATTGCTCAAAATTTTGTTCATTTTGAAAACAACAAATGCAACTATAAAATGAGCGGTCTTATGTAAATTGTAGAGCTTTTCACGCTGCATCTTGTGGTATAGTTTGTTTTTTAATACAATGTATAAAGTGATTGAAACATTGAATCTGCCTCACCCGATAGTTAAGTTTTACACAAAAACAGTTCTTATCGAAATTTTATTAGTATAATACTAGTTGGATAGTGATGAAATAGTATAGAAAAATAGAGCTTCATTTGCTCTATCATTCAATAGAAAAAGAATTTTTTTTTGACCCTTTTATAATGAAATAAGATGGACGCGACATTACTTTTGGATACACCTAAGTACCATATGTCAGTTTTTGTGTTGTTCTTTTTTTAAACCATTTTAGTCCTGCTGATTGGACAACCCTGTAAACTGAAGACAGTGACGATTTCCAACCAATTTTTTGAAATTTTGCTAATATATTTCTAACACTAGCTTTATTTTGGTTTTGAATTTTTTTAATACCAAATTTCTATAAGATGTAGTGGTAGTTGTTCGTGGTCTACCAGATTTATTTCTTTCACAGACTATTCCTCTTGCTACTATATGATGAATTTTGTTTACTACAGCACGTCGATTTAAATTTGGTGGATTACCTGATTGTTCGAAGAAATCGGCAACATCAGGTGCAGTCCAACTAGGATTTTGACGATGTAATAATAATACAAGTGGTCGAAATAATTCTTTCTCTTGTTGTCGATCTTGTCTACGAGACATTAGATTAAAAATATATCATAAATGTCGAAACGAGCATCAAATAAAATAAAATAATCAAATAAAACTGAACTAAAAAAGAAAAAACTATAAGAATAATAGTAATAGTCACGTGATTTTCGATGATTTATTTGTCTTCTTCGAATCCAGTAATAAAACGAACAATCACACTTTGAATTTAACAAACGTTTCAAAAAAAGAAAAAGATATGAACGTTACCGATGAAAAAAATTGTGTGTTCTGCATAGCTACGTGATGTGTTCATATATTTTATCCATTTCAATTCGATTACTCAGTATATAGTGAGGTTAAACATGTGATCTATGCTCCATAATGAGCGTCGAATAACTGATTAAGATCAACGTAAGTGAAGTTGCCCCCCCCCCCCGATTCGAGTAAATCCTACCCTGATTCGCCTAGGCACTTGTTCCAAGTACAGCTTGATGAGCTCTATCTAATGGTATAATTTGATTAATGATAGCGCAAACGATGCGGTCAAAAAGTCCAAAAAAGCAGGTTTTTCACTATAGAACCTATGAGCCCAGTTAAGTAAATCCTGTCCCAATTCACTCAGGAACTTGTTCCAAGACTCTTATTCTTGTTTCAAATACAAATCGATGAGCTCTATCTAATGGTATAATTAGATTTTTTACAATTCAAACTATGTGGTCAAAAAAGCCCAAAATACTGACTTTTTACTCTAGGATCCATGGATCTCGTACCATAGATCCTGCCCCAATTCGCTCAAGAACTTGTTCCAAGTGCAACCCGATGAGCTCTACCCAGTGGTATAATTAGATTTTTTATAACTTAAATTGTATGGTCAAAAAGTCCAAAATACTAACTTTTTACCATATGTTCGATCAACCTCCTACTGTAGATTCTGCCCCGATTCGCTTAAGAACCTGTCCCAAAGCTACTATTCTTGTTCCAAGTAGGATTCGACGAGCTCTATCCAATGGTATGTTCAGATCTTACATAGCTCAAAGTATGATTTTTCTGGTGATAGATGGTGCTAGTGAGAGTCTGAAAAATCATACTTCGAGCTATGTAAGATCTGAGCACACCATTGGATAGAGCTCATCGAGGTCTACTTGGAACACGGATAGCAGCTTAAGAACAAGTTTCAGAGCGAATTGGGGCAGGATATACGGAAAGGCATTCATGGATCCTATAGCGAAAAATCCGGTTTTTTGGGCGTTTTGACCACATAATTTGCGCTATCAAAAATCTAATTATACCATTGGATAGAGTTCATCGATTTGTACTTGAAACAAGAATAAGAATCTTGGAACAAGTTCCTGAGCGAATTGGGGTAGGATTTACTTAACTGGGCCCATGGATTCTATAGTGAAAAACGTGCTTTTTTGGAATTTTTGACTGCATGGTTTGCGCTATCATTAATCAAATTATACCATTAGATAGAGCTCATCAAGCTGTACTTGGAACAAGAATAGGAACCTTGGAACAAATTCCGAGACGAATCGGGGCAGGATTTACTCGAATCGTGGGCCAACTTCACTTACATTTAAGATCACTAGTTCTTGGCTCTTGCTACACTTCTTTTGAGACGTGTCCGAATTCCGTGAATTCCGAACTCTTGAGGAATTCTTGAACTCAAAAGATTATATAAAACGTATGGGCACTACGAGACCACAGCATAAGGTGCCGTAAAAAAATCAACCGATCCCAAGGAAGTCACGGATCCCAAGGAACTCAAGTATCCAAAGGATCCCAAGGATCACAAGGATCCCAAGAATCCCAAGGAACTCAAGGATCCAAACGAATTCAAGGGTCTCAAGGATCCCAAGGAAGCAAAGGATTCCAAGGAACTCAAGGATCCCGAGGATCCCAAGGAAGCCAACGATCCCAAGCAATTCACTCTCCTTTTCCAGTCAGTCCTTTCGCGGCATCCACGCCAGCTGCACTGTGATGTATGCCGTAGTGTGGTCCGTCGATTCGTGAGTAGGCGTCGAGAAGCTCAGCTCACTCTCAAAAATGATGAGCTGTTGAAAAAGCTCACTGAGACGAACGGAACTGCTCCAATAAATCATTTCCATGAAGCGAGCTTTTTCGAACAACTCATTCCAGATGAGCTGAACTGTTCCAACAGCTCATTCGCACGAACCGAACTTTTTCTAGGGGTGCCCATAGGTCCTCAAGGGCTACCTTGGAGGGATAACCATAGGTCCCTCAGGACTATCATATATGGATACCCATAGGTCCACAAGTGCTACCCTATAGGGGTATCAATAGGACACCAAGGGGTACCCTATAGCGGTACCAGTAGGTCCTCAAGGGCTATCCTACAGTGGTATCTCCAGATCCTGGTCAATTTTACGATCAATGAGATGGCGAGATTCTATTCCACTACAAATGGAACGACCGGGACCCCCACATATACCTATCAATCGATATAGCGTCCTCGATAACCCTAGCATTGGTCCGAACATGACTAGTAGTTGTCCGAGAAATAAGAAAGGAAAGAGCTCCTCAAATCTGATTGGTCAATTTTCCGACCAATCACACGGCGAGATTTTATTTCACCACAAAGGGAACGACCGGGACCCTCACATATACCCATCAATCGATAGAGCGTCCTCGATAACCCTAGCATTGGCCCGAACATGACTAGTAGTTGTCCGAGAAATAAGAAAGAAAAGGGCTCCTGAAATCTGGCTAGACTTCCTTCGGATCCTTGGATTCCTTGACTTCCTTGGGATCTGTTGGGATCCTTGGGATGCTTTGGGATCCTTGAATTCCTTGAGATCCTTGGGATGCTTTGGAATCCTTGAGATTCTTGAATTCCTTGGGATCCTTGAATTCCTTAGGATTCTTGAGATCGTTGAATTCCTTGGGATCCTTGGGCTTTTTGGGATCCTTGAATGCCTTGGGACCATTAGGATCCTTGGATCCCTTGACTTCCTTGGGATCCCTGAATTCGTTTGGATCCTTAAATTCCTTGGGATCCCTGGGTTCCTTGACTTCCTTGGGTTCCTTGAGTTCCTTGGGATCCTTGGGATCCTTTGAACGCTTGGGTTCCTTCGGATCCTTGGGATCCTTGAGTTTCTTGGGATCTTTTGGGATCCTTGAGTTTCTTGGGAACCTTGGGATCCTTTGGACCCTTGAGTTCCTTGGGATCTTTGAGTTCCTTAACTTCCTTGGGATCCTTGGGTTCCTTGGGATCCTTGGGATGCTTGAGTTCCTTGGGATCCTTGGGATCCTTTGAATGCTTGAGTTCCTTGGGATCCTTGGGATCTTTTGGGATCCTGAGTTTCTTGGGATCCTTGACTTCCTTGGAATTCTTGAGATCCTTGACTTCCTTGGGATCCTTGACTTCCTTGGGAACCTTGGGATCCTTTGGACCCTTGAGTTCCTTGGGATCTTTGAGTTCCTTAACTTCCTTGGGATCCTTGGGTTCCTTGGGATCCTTGGAATTCTTGAGATCCTTGACTTCCTTGGGATCCTTGGATTCCTTAAGTTCCTTGGGATCCTTGGAATGCTTGAGTTCCTTGGGCTCCTTGGGATTCTTGAATTCCTTGGGATCGTTGAATTCTTTGGGGCCCTTGGGATCGTTGAATTCCTTGCGATCCTTGAGACGCTTGAGTTCCTTGGGATCCTTGGATTCGTTGGGATCCTTGGAATCCTTGAGATCCTTGGGATCCTTGAATTCCTTGAGATCCTTGAATCCCTTGGTATCTTTAGAATCCTGGAATTCAGTGGAATCTCAGTGCGTGTGCGTTTTATATAATTTTTTGAGTTCAAGAATTCCTCAAGAGTTCGAAATTCACGGAATTCGGACACTGCTGCACATTTAATATAAAAACATTTGATTTGAGATCGTTTTTTGTTTACATAAAAGTTAATTTTTAACAAGCCTCAAAAATTATGAAATGCCCTGTAGAAAATCCCCAATGATAGTGGGAAAATCCCGTCGATAAATGAGAGATTATTAGCGGCAAATAAGAAATCCCCAATGGTAGTCCGATATTTCCCACGGTTAGTGATAATATGCCCATTGGTACATAGAAAATCCCCAATGATAGTGAGAAATTCCCATTGAAAATGGGAAACTTCGTCAGTAAGTGGGAGATTCTCATTGGTATACGGGAAATTCCCATTGGTAGTGGAAAATTTCAGTCGGTAAGTGGAGAATTCCCACCCACTGCTTGCTAGGTATAAAATCATGAGTGCGTCGATCTATACCTTATTAGATTTTAATATTTTAATATTAACTTCAATTATAACTACACAACACTGTGTTCCCATACTTTCTCATTATCATCTCGTACACTCATCTCAAGCTCGTACAGCAGCAAGCGACAATGCCGAATATAAGCCAAATGCATTGGTTCTTCATTTTCATCGCATTGATGACAACAATCTGCATGGCGCAGGTGGCGGCAACAGCGAATCAAGATGTGCACGACATTTGCTGCTCCGAAGAAAATACATGCCTCTCATATGACACAGCGCAGTATTTGAATAGAACGCTCAAGTTAGAAAGCGTTCATTTCCCACGTGATTTCCACCTATATCAGCAACTCTAAAAATTGCCTTCAAAGTCCACAACTATATGAATAGAGTGTTAATTTGAATTCCTTTCTTCTTTGCTCGTAAATAACAAACTCAATTAACAAATTTTCGCTTGAATCCAAGAAAATATTTGAATAGCCTGCTTGTTTGAACTATCCTTTTGCTGTTTGTTCATAAATAACAATCAACTCAAAACCTCTCGTTACAATCCAGCAAAATATTTGAAAAGAGAATTGATTTAAATTATTCATTTGGTGTTTCTTCGTAAATAAAAAAAATCCACTGAAACATTTTGGTCCGAATCAAGCAAAATATTTGAATACAGTGTTCCTTTGAATTATTTATTTTCTGTATCTGCACCCATAACAAAATCAATTCAAAATCCTTGCTTCGAATCGAGCAAGATATTTGAAAACACAACGTTTGTTTGAACCATTCATTTGCTGTGTGCTCTTGGCTCAAAAAAA